AAAAAAAAATAATTATTAACTACCCTTTTTTTTTTTTTTTTTTTTTTTAGTACAATCCCTTCGGAAAGCAGCTATTTATTCCGTTTAAGATGGCGTCCACATTGGGAATCCCTTTGAGTAAGGTAAACATTCATCTAACCATTGCATGAGATTAAAATAATTATAAGAATTTTGTTATATATAATTATTTTACTGGTACTAGGTGTCGAAATCAATTTTTCTACAAATGTTATTTAATGATCCTGCATACTGTACAATGATCCTAAGACTAAGAGCAAGGGTGTATGAGTATGTAATAAAATGTAATAGTAATAGTAATGTAAGTTACACTGTACTGTAACTACCGTCCGTACCGTAATGAAATGCCGGGCGTAGTTGTCGTAGTCGTTTGTAACATTTCTGTACAAACAAATAGGCCCATAATGATAATTTAAAGCAGCCTATAAAAATAAAGTGTTCAAGATTAGTAGGGCCCATAACCATAGTTTCCTTTAGTCTTTAGTCAATAATTATTCATGATTTGACCAGCAAGTTTCAAATATAAATGAAAATGAATTAGGGCTCATTCATTAGGCAGGGCTAAGCCTAATGCACTTAAATGACTTAATGCAAAGAATTGGTGCCATTATTTATTTAGGGATACATTTGCCTCATTTGGACCGTGTGATACGTCATGGCACCAATTGTCTACTACTATATTTAAATTATTTATATTTATAATTTATAGCTAGCTAGGATATAAAAATGACATTGAATTGAATTTGAAGCATTGTCATAATCATATTAAATGCAGACAATTGGTGCCATGTTTTTTTCCCCACAGCTGCCATCTTTTTTGCCACAACTATGACCTTTCATGGATGGGTGGAGGCAAAAAAGGTGGCAGCAGTGGGGGAAAAAAGTAGTGCAAACACACATGTGATAAAAAAGGGGAGAGGATGGGAGAAAAAGTGTTATTTCAACTAAGTACCGAAACACAGGAAAATAAGCAATTTGAGTAGAAGAATTTTTTTATTTAAAAAAACAATGAAATTAATAGTATTTTTTTTAAAGTTATTTTAAAAACAATGTAAAATAAAAGGAAAATTTGAAAAATATTTGGAAGAAGCAAAACAATTCAACAAATTAATAATTTTAAAGAAATTAGCAAAAAACCTTCATATTTAATGAAGTAAAATCAGGCGATACATAATTTTAGTGGTCGGCCGCCATCCCTAAACCTAATCTGAAACCTAAATCTATAACTAAACCTAACCTGAACCCTAAATTTATAACTAAACTTAACCTGAACCCTAAACCGAACCCTAAAGCCTAAACCTCAAGTAAAAAACATGTGCCGCTACAGTTACTCACAGAAAGAAAAATGTAGAAATGAAGAAAAGCACAAAATAATTGTAAAATAATGAAAACCCAATTTACAGTTTCATAGAATACACTTTTACAATCTTTATTTCAGGTTCCAACAAAATTAAAATCCAAAAGTTATAAGAAAATCAATAAAATACAATATCAAATCATTTTCCGAAATTGTATGGCTAGCAGCACTGAGCAAAGTGATTTAACATTATTTTCAATCACTCCTTTACCTATATCCGCAAAATTTGAAGAATGACACCTGAAAGCAAAATGGCAAGTAAATATAATATCATAAAATTTAACTTTAATCAAAAAGTCCCTTAAAACTCATCTGTTTAGGTCCGCCTATGACCTGTGAAGCACCCTCCTTGCCCTACCTAATTTTCTGTTTCGGTTTAATCCTGAAGTGTCAAAGTGTCCTCTTTTTATAGCCATTTTCATTGTTTCATATCTTATCATCAATGATAGGATCACAGAGTAAACATAAATGAATCTTTACATGTTTTAATAATTGTAAAGCGCTTAGAGCTTTATGATAAGCGCTATATAAAAATGCCTAAATAAATAAATAAATAAATATCCTTTAATTATTCACATTTACTTTTGTGACAGCACTTCAGTGTTGAAATATTCCTTCGCCGCCACTCTTCCAATGATCCATTATGTATTTTTCAACAAATAAATTAAAATTTTATGTTTATTTTAACAAATTACATTTAAAAATGACATTTAAAAAAAAAATTACTCAGAAAATGAGCAAAACACCAATAATGTATTAAGCATTCCATCGGCATATTAATTCTAATACATAAAAAAATAATTCTCCAAAAATAAACGAAAGGGAGTGAATTCTACACGGAAACTTAAATAGACATACAAATGACGTCATGACACCAACTCTCTGCATTGACCTAACTGGGTATCCAATGGAAGTTCCATTTGCTGTCTAACCCTTAACTCAGATAACTGTCGAGTACATTTTTCTATGGTGTTAAGCTGGAACGTCATTTAAGTTTTTTTCATAGAAGTCCCAAAACCAAAACTTGGCCGGCTTATTGAATTGCTCATTGTCATTACTGTAGGTGCCACAGTACGTAGCAATATGAATAAAACCTGCCGATTTGGGGAATGGGGGGGGGGCACAAATGCTCCCCCTCTGCCCTAACCAAATGACGTCCCTTACATCATGTGATTTTTTGTTATAAACCTTCAAATTTCTGTCAAACAAAATACAATGGGGAAAGCATGTTGTCAAAAACATTTTTTTTTTCAATTGAAGTTATTAAATCCATTTTTTATTAATTAATACTCCAAAACATACTCAAACAAAAATGTTTTTGAATCTCTTTAGGGTAGGTCTTTGGAATTCAACATTTGTGTTTTCATTTCGATTTCCACCCTTTCCCAAACAAATTTTTCGGTAACAATACGACTAAGCTTATAACTAAAATTGTCAATATGTGACTCTTATGTGGCCATCACCACTAGAGCTAATACTGTAAAAACTAGCACATGGATATCTCTGTAATCCTTGCTTCAATTTAATCCATTTGAAATAATTCCAATAATTAAATTCTTTGTTGATTTGCAATCTACAAGGGAAAACTCTCCAGCATCAGATTTAATGGCAATAAAATATTGAACAAATTTCACTCTTGATTAACCACAAAACAAGTCCTGATAAAAGATAAAAAACAGAAATAGGAAGCAAACTCATTTATATAGAGTGATTTCCCCTTAAACAATATGTATTAAATCATTTATATTTTTTATGACAATTTTATTAGCTACCGTTGATATCAATCGTTAAGACATTTAAAATTTTAAAAATTAACATGCACCTGTGTAATTCTGTATAGAAATTCACTCCATCCACTACTGTCTTTTCAGTAACCTTTTTATTTACAAACTGAGTTCACTAAAAGATTCTTATCCGCTTATCCCATGAATATCAAATTACTGCACCTTAGAAATTTTACTGAGATCATTTTTCCCATTCAGCTATTTTTCGCTCCATCCCTCTTCACTCCTAATTCTCAGACTCCTGATGTATACATTTTTGACGTAATTTGTCATGACTGTCAAAATCAGTGCCCCAAGGCTCAAGTCCTGTAACTTGATTTGGTAGTCAGAGTGGGCACTAACCTCTCAGAGTGGACTTTGACCTTGTATACATCCTATACCAGTTCCCCACAGCACTGACTGGCTCAGTGAAAAAGTTGGAAGATCAAAAAGAGTGATAGTTGCCTTCGTAAACAGAAAAGCTAATATCATATTTATTTAATCATTGAAATTTTTTTTCCTTTATACAATTTCCACTATTAAATACCCTAGTAAGCATGTACAATTATTTTGTTATAACTTTTTTTTTAAAGTGCTACATATTTGAAAAAGAACTTTATGCATTTAAATCATCTTGCAGATTAATTATAGAGTATGAACTAAGATTGTCATTAGTTTCCTTCTAAATTTTGTATTTGATTTTTGTATGAAAGTTTAAAGTAACTTCCTTGTCTAAAACCTGAATTTCTGTGATTCAAATTTTGCACAGCACGAAGAGTCTGAACATTAATAAATTTGTAAGAGCAACTTCTCTTACTAAGTATTTACATGTAAGCAAAATTTCATATATTTCAGGTTAGCCCAGCTTTCTTACATGCAAACTCAACAAGCCACACGTGGGCTTTCAGTGCATTTGCTGAATTAATCGGTTTGTATTTAATCTCTAGAAGTTATTAGAAATACAATAGCTTATACATTAGTAGAAATCCATACTTTCAATAATAGGATGTTTCAAATCCTTTTATGTAAAAATTCAGTCTTGTTACAGTTCTTAATTAAGTCTCTGCTACTATTTCTTAGTATACAATGATGAATAAGATATTAAGCTAGGGGCTATAATTGTAGCTTTAGCCATTTATTAAGAGTCATGTTAATTATTTGCAGTGTACTTTATAGTGTGTAGCTTGTTGATTTGGTTTTTCAAACATAATAATAATACAGTGGAACCTCTCATAATGAGTTTAATTCGTTCCAGACTCTTACTCGTTAAGCGAAACACTCGTTAAACGAAACAATTTTCCCATACAAATCAATGTAAAATACGATAATGCATTCCATGCTGAAAAAATACTAATTTTTCAAACATTTTTATTAACATTTATTCAAATAAAATTACTTATGAACTGTTAATGAATTGTTAACAACTTGGAATACAATTTAGATTTGAAACAAAAAACGTAAATAAAAATATGAATTTATGACAAATAATTAATCCTTTTTAACTAGCAAACTGTCCAAAGAAATTTTTTTTTGCAGACGCTTCAAAATGTGACGAAAATGTGTCACAGCATTATCATTGAATAAATTTGTAGCACGAATAGCCACCTCCTTATTAGGGCGATGCTTCTCAATGTACGATGCAACCGTTTCCCATGCTTTCAGCATTTCTCTTATTGCGCTAGAAGATTGTTACTCTGCTACTTCCTCCACCAGTAATGAGCTCTCCTCCATAATTTCTTGCTGTGAAACACGATGCAACTTCATAAGCCCTCCGGTGGTTAACTCTTGATTGTGCTCTTTCACAAGCTCTTCAATATTGTTGTTGTTCACCTCGAGTCCCATGATATTGGCCAATGACACAATCTGGTTAACTGTAGACCCCACAGGTACTGTTTCACAATCACATTCAACAACACTCTCTGGCCAAAGTTTTTTCCAAGCAGAAATGAGGGAAAAATGGACTTCCCCTTTCTGCGTAACTCGTTATGCGAAATGTCGCTCACTAAGGGAGCAACTTCTTCACATTTTTTTTTCTCATTATGCGAATTACTCGTTATGAGAGGTGCTTGTTATGAGAGGTTCCACTGTAGTTTTGTTTGTTTATTGCAAATGCTAAATATTGTATGTTCAACAAAAATTCACAGATAATGCTTACGATCCTGATGTAAGTGCATCAGAACTTTTAATTGATCAAGTCGATATAAGAGACACACCCTGTCTGATATTTCTGGACAATGGAGCTGGAATGGATAGGGACCATCTGCTTAAAATGCTTAGGTACTCAAGTCATACTTAAATACTTGTATTAAAATAATTATATATAATTGAAATTAATTAAATTATAATTATATTAAATATAAGATTTAATAATTATTTATTACTCTATGATTTAAAACTTATTTCTGCGATGTTCACTTGTAAACACTACTTCAAAATGTTCATTCTATTTCAGTTTTGGTTTTTGTGAGAAAGATATTTATGAAAGACAAGGATCTCATCAACCTATTGGTCATTATGGAAATGGATTTAAATCTGGATCTATGCGATTAGGTCAGGATGCTCTTGTTTTTACTAGGTGCCAGCGGAGTGCCAGTATTGGGTTCCTTTCACAAACTTACCTTAAAGCTATACAGACTGATTGTGTAGTTGTGCCTATACTGGAATACAGACTTCCGAAATATATCCTTTTTAAAAAAAAATTTTTTTAGGAGTTTAGTTTTAACACTCAAAAGATACCTTTGAGTTTTATTTAATTTGTCATTCTCTAATCATATAAATTTATTAAATATATTACAATATTTTTTGCTTAAAACCTTTATTGGAGCATAAATTTTTTTATTTGAGATGAGAATATGTCTAAAAGGTAAAATATCATTTTAAATGCTACAGTATTATTTGTTACCTCCTTAATGAATGCCTCACTGGAGAGAATCAAAAGCCAAGAGTCACGGAACAATCTTAATGCAATCCTTCAGTACTCAGTTTTTAAAGATGAGGAAGAGCTAAAAGCTGAACTTCGTGCTTTAGAAGGGTCAAAAACCGGAACGAAGATTATTATTTATAATTTAAAGAGGTATGCTATTTTCTGAATTACATTGGAGATATTAATACAATTTGAAAACCCAATCCAATTTATTAAAATTGCCTTTTATAATTTTAACAACCAAAATTGTTTCACTGCTTGTTAAATTTTAAGTTTTGTGAATTTTTATTTATTTACAGATTGCAAGATGGGACCTATGAACTAGATTTTTACAGTGATCCGACCGATATACGATGTCCAGAAGCTCATGAAGTAGACATGACTTCAGTCTACCATAGACCGATTCAACAAAACTCCTCTGAATATAAACGCTCTTTAAGAGTCAGTTTTATATACTTTTCCATAATGGATAAAATTCATACTCAAAAAAATTTAATTTACTTTTAACACTTTCATTGAAACAATAGATGTAAACCAAGGGTTAGAGAAGAAATAGTTACCATATCTCACAATAATAGAATGGCATTTCTCAGTTTGTCCACAAAAAAAAACCTCAGAAAAACTGTTAAACTTACAGTCAAGGGGCATCTATTGAGGAGACTGAGTTAATTATAAAATAATTTAAGACATTTTGTTTTTATAAGAAAATATTTTTGGCTAGTAGTTTTTCCATTAAAAATATATTTATTTCACACACTTACTCCTTTCCGCTTAAATGGAGTAGTTTTCCCATTCATTAAAAATATATAAATTTTTTAATACCGGTACAAGTAACCAACATCACATTTTAAAAAGGATTTCTATACTTTTTTTTTCTTTCAGGAGTATTGTAGCATTTTATTTCTGAGGCCTAGGATGAAAATAACTATTCGAGGAATCCGGGTGAAATCAAAATTGATTTCTAAATCGTTGTCCAACACTGAAATTGATATGTACAAACCAACGTGGCTAGTAAGTTCTTATTTAAATATGCTATTTCATTCAAAATTTTACAGAAAACTCTGTTTCTGATTACATTTAACGCTGTTTCTGGTCTAGTAAGTTATCTTTTACCAGTGTTTCAACATAAATCAAGTGTTACTATTTATACATCTTTACAGTCACGGCCGGTTAAAATCATCTTTGGGTTCACTTGTGAAAAAGACAAATCTGAAGACTATGGCATGATGCTTTACCACAGGAATAGATTAATCAAAGCATATGAAAAAGTTGGATATCAGAAACAAGTAGGTTCACAATTGAGAAATGGAATCATTTTTTATAATATTGCTGAGGTGAAGCTCTGGAATTAATAAAAATAACCAGATGTTTTTATCCACAATAGAAAAAATTACTATATTCTGCAATGTTTATAAGTACTATTTTTTTTGAAATATGAAGTTTAGGGGTGGGGGATATTATGCAGTGTTCAAGCAGTTTATATTATAAAAGATTAGAGGAATACTACATACCATCTTAATTTATGGTCAAGTGCCCCCAAGTTTTACATAGTTATGAAATATTGCTTCACAACCTTTCCCTGCCGTAGAAACACATCAGATGAGAACTACAAGAAGATAGATGAAATTCTGTTATTTAACAAATACATGGGAAAATTGTTTTGATTACATTGTAGATATTCATTTAAACAACAATAATAGGCTTTGAGTTTTTTTTTTTTTTAAAATAGATTTTCTAACAAGATTTTTGTTTTTAAATTTGGTTTGTGGATCCCCATGTGGTCAGATTCAGCAAGAGCAAAGTAAACTACCTGGGGATGTATGAACTTGATTTAAGGAATAATTATTATAAAGTACATTTGAATAGCCAATGTCTAAAAAGTATACTTTACTTACAAAATATTTCAAAGGCTCCTTAAAAAAACCCACTTTAATTATTAAATTAATTTGTCTCTTACTAGCCAAATGAACTTGGAGTTGGTGTTGTTGGTGTAGCACAAGTAGATTTCTTACAACCTATTCACAATAAGCAGGATTTCAACAAAGATGAAAAGTTCAAGTATGTAGCACTATTTTGTTTTATTTATTAAAAGCTACATCGAGAGGGCGTGATAAAAGTTTGATGCAAGAGAAAACTCTTCACGAACTAAGTGTAATTATTAAAAATACAATTGGTTGTCGTATTAAGTGTGACTCTGTGTGACCATTCAACATTTTGACCCAGTCATCTTGTGTCTGAAATATGCAAAGATTGATGTAACTCATTTGTTTTATGTATGAAAATGCTATAGTGAATTGAGGCATGTAGGATCTTTAAACATATTATTTCTGGTGAAACCCACCCTCCCTATAACATTTAACCTGTCTCTTTATTTTCTCTCTAGTTTAACATTATTACCAAAGATCTCTCTTTCAGATGTTAAAACATTAAAATACCACTGGTGGTCATAGTATGAATTGATAGGTTGTTGAAGAATTGTTATCTTTATCCTCTTAAGATAAATGAACTGATGTTTTAAAATATGTTAAAGATTTATTGAGGTTCTTCCTAAATATTTGTCGTTAAGTTTAAGCACTTAAGAGGAGTCAATGGTAACATTTTGTTATATTTATTTTCCTACTGATATTTTTGTATTTTTTTCAGCTCTGTTATGGCAGCATTTGCAAATAAACTTAATGATTATTGGAATGAGAAGAAAACACAACAAGGTCCTTCACAAATCCAGGCTTCTTTTCGGTGAGAAATTAATTTTTAAGTAGCAAATTTTAATGAGAAATAAATATACATAAATAACATTACTGCTTTTTTTAAGAAAAATGTTTACGGTATTACTTTTAAAAAAAATTATACAGATTTTCTTGAAATTGAAATTAATATTTTCTTTCTTTTAACATCTTTTAAAATGTACTCTTCCTTAATATTTTTAAAATGAACATTTTTTTTTTATTGTCATAATTTAAATTTTTTTTTATTGAAAGTATAATATATATATTGCAAAATAATTTTTTATAATACAGAATCTTATAATATAATTCCCTGAGTGGATGTTGTCCGCCCGGATTGCGCATTGTGATGCACTCCCATTTGCTGATTCACCTGTCATACACAACCAAAAGAACATATATAGACACATATACAACTAAACAGATATATGGAGCGCAATCTGAATTTATTATTGTAGATTATACACCTCTTCCAATATTTCACAGCACCACTTAAGAGTATAATTTTTAATAATATAGATTAATTAATAATAATTAAAACCTTTTTGATAAAATAGATCGAAGTAAAGTACATAAAAAGAATGTAAAGCCAATCTTTTGCTGCAGAAACTAATTGGGAATATGAAATAACTCTCACCTGACAACTTCAAGACTCTCTAGTACCTCCCATTTCAAAGTTAATAAATGTGAAACAAAAAATTCTTAGCACACTTCCTGACTGGTTATGGGCACAGTGTGATATGTGTCTTAAATGGCGACGTCTACCTGATGGTGTAGATGGAAATAGCTTACCGGAACAGTGGTTTTGTCGAATGAATTCCGACGCTACACACAAGTAAGTAAAGTTATATTATTTTAAATTAAAGAAAATTTTCTGTTATTTGAATTTAGTTTCCAGGTTCAATAAATTAATTGATAAATTTTTTTTTATATTTGAAAACTAAAAAATTGAAATATTTTTACATATTTTATTCTAAAATAAATACATTTAAATAGAAATGATCATTAAATTGAGAGACACTACATACAATTTAGTGTCAAAATTTGAATTTTTTAAAAACATTTGGATAATATGGAGTATATGTTTTAGCCGCTGTGACATCCCAGAAGAGCCTGAAGATGAAGACCTTGCAGTTAGACCAACCTATGAAAAGACATTTAAGAAAAGAATGTAAGTAGAAAAGAAAGTACAAACTGATAATTTTCTTGTCGTAGGTATTGATTTATCTGAAAGTCAGTGGATGAGTTACTTATTTTAACACTTTTTAACGCATAGAGTAAAAATCCCCTTATATTCACATGATTTTTTCCGCGGATACAGTGAAATATAAGATTATGAATTGGTAAACTCAATAACTTTGTCATGATATTTGATATTAATTTTACCTCATAAATTTAAATACAGGAACTGTATAAATACAGTTAGCTAACATTAATAACTGACGAATTACCTGTCATTACATATAATTTGCTATTACAATTACCATTAATTGGTGTAAAATAAACTCACAAGTGGATGGAAATCTGTGAACTGAACCAGCTATTTCATTAAAAAATTGTGATTTAACCATCTGGGAAAAATACAAACATGTTGAAATGCATTCTCAGCAAAAGGGAGATTATTCATGAAATTTTCTTGTTGCTGTGGATATAAATGTTGAAATTGGTCATCCCTTATGTATTTAAAGCAGACCTGTTTACCCTCAAACTCTTAAAATCGTACAATATATTCACAAAATCTTTCAATTCATTATCTTATAGTAAAATAAACATACAGTATATATAATGTATACACCTCAAAATCGTACATTGTACGCCAAAATCGTAAGAGTAAACAGGTCTGATAAAGTGGTAATTGAATTTCAATGCATCTTATCAAAGTATTCAAATTTGATTGTGTGTGTGATAAATTTTCCTCAAGCTGATATGTTTTTCAAGTGCATTGTTAAATTATTGTTTCATTTGAGTCAAGTAAAATAGTCAAATAAAGTTCTTCAACTAGCACTAATAGTTTTATTTCTTGAAATAACTAAAAAAAAATTTTTGCTTATTGTATTTATTTGTGTGTATAGGGAAGAAAGAAAGCGACAAAGGCAATTTGAAATGGAGAAAGAAGATGAAATGAAGGTTTGACTTTTTCTTTAAATCTTCTCAGCAGCCTATATAACCTTAAATTGTCAAAACAATTATTATATATTTACCAAATATACTAAATGAAGAAACTGTTTCATAGATTTTGCACATGAAAAAGCTGTTTCATTATTGTATTTCTAGATTTTCAGTTTACAAAAATAACTTTTAAGCCCATTCATGACTTGGCATTATTTTTTCAGAAAAGAAAGATGATTGAAAAAGAAAGAGAACTTCAAGAGAAAGAAGCAGCACTCAGGGCTATTCAACATGTTGCCTCAAATCCAGTAAGTAAAGCTGTAAAGTAAAGTTTAGAAAATAATCATTTTGAAATTTCTCTAAAACTAATCTTTTCAATTTCAGTTACAAGTGTTGGTTTTTTGTTTTTTTTTGTTGTTCAAATCATTAACCATTTGAATTCATTAAGTTTCTTGTTCAAGAAGTATTATTAATCACCATTAAAGAAAGTCTTGAAAAGAGCTTCTTTTTCAAAATGAGGTGGGGGGGGCATGTCAATGGATAACCAAAAATGTTATTTCTTTTTTGTTGTTCAGGGATCTCTTTTATTGATATTCCACAAGCATATCAAGGATTATTTAGAAATAACATTGAAAAACATATTTCAAGAAAAAAGCTTAAGTTTGGTCATTATCTCTACCTAACTTCTAATAAAATTGACATTAAGATTTTAAAGTGAAATTGCTATGCAGTTTGTAGATTATTCATTATTTGATAAATTTAACATCATTTTGAACATTTTATAAGTTGTAACTCTAATATCATATCTCCTTCTCCTACGTCTGGCAAATCTGGTCTGAGCTCAAGCTCTTTGTGGCTCTTCTTTCAAGCATCACTAACTCTAGATATCTTTATCATAATTTTAATAAAAACACCTTCCATCATTTCATCCATTTACATCTCTGCTATGATCTATCTACCAAAAGAAAGAAAAATGGCATTGGACTAATTTGTTAAAATTACTTAAGAGCTGTTAAATCAAAATACACAAACTGAATGTTTTAAGTTATTATAAAATATTACAGAAAAGGAATAATTGCATGTTCAACTACAGCATCTACAGACTTGTAAATAAAAGCATGTAAATTTTATGACATCTTAACGTATATAAAAAAAACCCAGATGTCATATCATGATCCTTGCTATGAAACACAAATGTTTATAAGGTACTTTCACACTACGGATTTGTTGCAGCCACAAAGCTCAGTCGTGAATCGATGTTGAGAATCTATGACAAAGATATACTATGTAGATCTTCACACTGGGCAGGCCCAACTGTAGCATCTGATGCAGAACTTTTGTTTCTATTTATCTATTTTAAATTTATGAGATAGCGCAACAGTCAGCAACCTGTGATTGCCTGAGTCTCTTTGCATTAATGACTTTGTCTCTTTTTCTTTTAAATATGATTTAACCACCCATGCTACAAAGGAAAATTAAAATGTAAAATTTTTTAAGTAACATCTTTGATTAATTCTGTCTTTTAAAACAAAACAATGTGCCTGTAAAAAAAATTTTCTTGTCTTGCTCACTCCAATAAAGTCAAACTTAAAATTTGTTTCCGAAATTTTAATCTTTGAAGTTCAAAAATATGGCTACCATGGAATACAATTTAAAAAAAAAAAGTCTGGTTATATTAAATTCATAATGTTTTTTTATGACACTCCATTTTCTACTGTAACCTGTCTGCTAATGATAATGCGTGGCATTGAAAAAAAAATATTGTGATTGTTTCTGTATGTTGCTAGCAACCCTAAAAAAACCTGTGATGATAAAACGGGGGCGCCTTTTTGTTGCAGCAAGTAGCACGTGGTCAAAGAAAGTTGAGAATACTAGTAACAAATCCACAGTGTGAATGTACCTTTACACCAACAAGTATATACTCTTAGTTTAATGTTAAGACAAAAAAACCCACAAAATTCAAGAAAACATCAAGATAGATGATCTTAAATAATTTTAAAAGTAAATGGAGAATGTTATTATTCTGGAAAAGTCAATTTTTGCCATTTAAATAAACCAACAGAAGAGAGTGTCTGTGACAGGACAACACCAGTTTCATAAACCTAGACTGGTGAGAAACGGTTTTCATTGTTCATAGTAGTCTTATTGTCTATCTTTGAATCTTAGACGTGTATTTTGTGATTTGCAATTAGTCTAGTGCTTCTAATACATTATATTAACTTATGCTTCCAGATTTTATGCATGGTGTTTATTTCGTCTCTTCTTTTAACGACATAAATATAATTAATCAGTAAAGTCTTAATGACGTGGGAATTTATTTGGACTATAACGGCAAATGCAAAGAATTGAAGAAATAAATCTTTTAATAATATGAGATGCTAAATGAAAAAATTCTGCAGTAGTCTTAAAGGCTTGAGAGGAAATATTGAGTTTTGCACATGATACATTTAAAAATGGGAAAAAAACTAAATAAAAACTGGGTTTTTGAAGAATATTTCTTTTTCAAACTAGAATTACCGTATTTTCCGGCGTATAAGACGACCCCCTACTTTTTCTTTTAAAATCTAGGGTTTGGCTGTACACCAGCTCATAAGACGACACCCAGCGTATAAGACGACCCCCGACTTTTGAAAAGATTTTTATGGGTTAAAAAGTTGTCTTACACGCCGGAAAATACGATATAGTTTGCATGGATTACGGTGTATTAATTAATATTATTTCAAGTCTGTAATGAAAAAGTGAAATAATCTAAATAAATCTGTAATACTATCCATTACTGTTTGCATGTCAGTCTTTAAAAAAAAAAGTTTTACAAGACCTAAATAAATTCCATATTTATCTTTTCTTCTTTCCATCAATGACTTTAAAAATACTTATTGACATGTTTAAAATAAAATGTCACTCATTACTTAAACATGATTGCAACTGGTGCTGGAGCTCCAAAATTGAAATGTTAATAACTCTATGTTATGCTTAAATTTAGCTAACACTTTTGACAAAAGTGATTAAATCATTTGGATTTTAAAGTGTTTTTTAACATTTTATGATGCATGAACTCATAGAATTGATTGTTGTAATGTTTCAGGTTTTAAGAAATTCTTTTATGCCATACAGAAAGTCTGATAAGATTATTCTTCTGAAACCTACAGAACCATTTCAGAAAGTAGTGTAATTACAATTAAAACTATTCTGTAATTGCTTGTTTTGTTAATTTGTCTAATTTCATTTGAATTTTTTTTTAGTCATAAACCTTTCATATTCTCTTGAATATTTTGGATGTTGGTTTAATTCTTCTTTACAATATTTGTTCATATTTTAAGTAGATGTTGAAATTTTTGAAGGCTCTAAAAAATAATCTTACAAATAACTAAATTAAGAACTAATCATTTAGTTTGGAAAAAAATTTTGTATATTTTTATTGCTAAAATTAATATTTAGCTGCAACTATTGAAATGACTGCTCATTTAAACTGGGAAATACACTCATAGATTGTAATAATTTTTAAATATAGAATTATCTTTTAGTTGAAGCTTATTCATCAAGATACACAGTTTGAAGTGAATTTGCTTTACATAGGTACAGGACAGTCAAGCTTTGACATCTCTACAAAAAGAGTTAGCAGCTGCAAGGCAGCGTGAAGAGCAACAAAGACGAGTTATACAGCAAATGGAAGAGCAGAGAAAATTATGGTTGCAGATGGCTGAAAGTCTACAGAACAGTAAAGGAAAAAAACCAAAGGTAAGCAAAAGCCATACAAAATTGTAATGATCATTTTATAAAGTCTCTTCAGCAGAGTGATTATAAACAGTAAGAAGTATTTTTGATTAACATCAGGAATCTGTCATTTTCATGCTTTTTTTTTTTTTTTTAAATAGAAATATCTAAATTATTTTAGAAAATTATTTTAGAAAATTATATTTATTGAATATTTGGCTTTTGATTTTCAAGGAAGTTATAGAACAGATGTCCCAAATCATTGGTACCATCAGCCCCTATTCATCATTAGGGTAAGTGCTTTTTCTTTTATTGGGAAGTTCAATTATTGTACTAAGTATTTATTGTTTCTTTTCTTCTCCTTCTATATTTTACGGTTTACAATCAATGTATTGATCATTCTGGCTCCCATGTTTGTAGAGGGGTTTGCGATGTAAATGTTCATAGTTTTGAAGAGGATATATTACTGGTTGCAAGGGCTACTCAGTGATGGTATTAGGAACTGGAAGTTGGAAGGAAGGAGAAAATAGACGCAACCGTGTCAAGTGTTGTCTCCTCAACTGTTCCTTTTAGAAGCTTGTTCCAGTCCCTGATTGTTTTTGGCAGGAATGAGCAGTTTCTGTACTGTGCTCTTTCTGTTATGAGCCGGAACTGACTGTCGTTGCCTCATCGCTGTCTAAGGGGGAGGGGGGCGAGTTTCTGTTTAATGCTGGAGCAGTGGACCAGCCCATTATTTATCTTGTAAATGATCGTTGTCGTTTCTCCAATGGTGACCAGCCCAATTATTCAATTTTAATACTAGAAATGTCACAAATGAGGTCTTTTATAATATATTTATTTTTACCCTTGCCATATACATTTCTTTTAGGTATACAGTGGTACCTTGTCACGGGGAGGGGGGGGGGGGTAGACCCCCAACCCCCCCCCCCCCCCCCCCCCCGTGATAGGTGGAAATCCATGAAGTAGCGACCATATATTTAGTTTGTTATTTAAATATATTTTAAGGTATGAGAAACCCTCCCCACAGTCTTATAAACTTTTCCCACACTGTTATTAACTTGGCGTTTGGGTTCGATGCCAGAAGCTTAGAAGGAGCAGAACACTTGGGCGACATGGTAGGACTTAAAATAAATTCACAAACACATAACACTGCAGAGCAACACTAGGTACGGTGGTCAGAAGTCATGAAATGGACAAAGCGAGATGCTGAATGAGTACCATATACGTGGGAGATGAAGGAGCCATGCGATGGTCATTGAGCCAATCCTCCCAGGATATAGAACAAAGTGCTCTGGTTGGTCTCCTCCCATATATCAGCCAATTGTGTACTGTAGCTGTGTTTTCCATACATACTAGCATTTGTTTACTTCCGCTGCATATTTTATTTCAATTTAATAGTCTTTTAATATGTTTTAAGCATTATTTAAAATTGTTTATTTTTTGGGCTGTAAATGCTTATTTTACCTCAAAAATAATTTAAATAATATATTTATAAAAAAAGTACCTATATACTGCAAAATCACATTATATAGTGCAAAATGATCAAAACAAAATAAGTTAGATATTTATAAGTAAAATATTTAAGAAAAGTGAACCTGCGATTAGAGGGTGGATCACTTAATACATTAAAAATTGTTGTATTCAAAAGGGAACAATACCATATTCCTTTTACCCTAAATTTAAAATGAATTTTTTTACAATACAACTGATGATTAATGTTTCTTAAAAAAAAAATATTTGGCTAAAACTATTGGATCCTTTAACCCTAAATTTAACATGAATTTTTTTACACTACAACTGATGATTAATGTTTATTTAAAAAAAAAAATATTTGGGACAGGCTAAAACAATTAACATTTGTTAACTTTTCAAGTTTTCATTATCCTACAGTTTACCAACAAAGAGAAAACAAGCTGAGACTGCAGCTAACAACAAAGGGGCTAAACAGATGTGCATTAAAACGGAGACGGGAGAAGTTCTGTCAATAACTCAGAATGATATCAACAGTCAAGATGATGAAGATAATGAGGTGGACGAGGCCCCCAGATTCCCCAGAGCCAATAAACTTCCATCTACTACAAACAAACCACAGGAGAAAGAAAAGCCACATCTTTCCACAAGTCCTAAAAAGGTTGCATCGAAAACAAATACCTCAAATGAAATTGATCGGGCCAATGTAGAAATTCCAGCAACTGCAGAAACCTGCAGGTCTCGCAAAAAGTCAGTTAACAAAGAAAACGTGGTGGCCGTCATTGATTTGACAGGGGATCGTGAATTTGGAGAACTTGTGGATATAAAGCCTGACCTAGACGAACTTCGTACAACATTACAGGAAAACTTGAGACCAGACATAAAGCCTGATAAGGATAAACTTGATGAACAACTCTCTGGCAAAGGTAGTGTACAAAAATATAAACATTAAAAAAGTATTTCACAAATGTCTGTAGTGTATCATATACCCTATATGTCATATAATACAGTCACCATACCTATGGCATTTAGCCCTGGGATCTGTGATCATTTGCCCACACCGTTCCAGACAATAGCTCCCAAGTTAATTTGACTTTGCAGACAGTAACAAATGGAATTCTAGGTTTTAACACCAAAACAACAAACTTAAAACAACAGTTTAGGATTGCAACTATCTATAGACCTTTAACTGACCCGAAACGAACATGTGGAAACGTTTACTCCCAAAGTAAAAGAAAATGTTTGTACAACAGTTATTGCATTTTAAGAAGATGTTGTCCATAATGTTAATTTTACAAATGCTTAACTAATAAATTATGAATTTCTTGCAGACTAGAAGACTTATTATATTTATAAACTAATATTGATAGACATTTTTTGTTGTTGATTTGTAAATTAAATTCATTACAATTATTTCTATAACGACTTTACTCTATGACTTTTTTAAGAATACCTTTTTAAAAACTCCTTTCATTTCAATAACAAGGTGCAGAGACTAACAAAGACCCAACTGCCAAAATTATTGACGAGGCTAAAGAGGAAGTTGAAGAGCATCAAACGGTGGCACCAAATCTGACAGAACTCGGATGTCCCGATGGGTTGAATGTGGTGAGTTCGGAAAAAGATGATAGTGTTCATTCTGGACGAATGGATGAGGAGCCCGAGTTTCCCACAGTGATACCAGACAGCTTCAATGATACTCTTGAGGCTGCCATCGCTGCAATCCAGGAGAGAATGGAAAAAGAGAAATGCTTTCCCCCCACTACATCTTCAACTGAAGATACATCAGCTCAGTCGAGCCCCCAGGAACATAAAAAAGAGTTGAAAGAAATCACCACTACTAGCAGCAAGAAAAGGTCTGACTCAGAAAGTTCATTGGAGAGCCTAACTGGTATGATTTTTAATAGCAAAAATGATGCTGACAAAAATGAGTTGATGAGAAATGCAGACAGTAATTATTCTGAAAAAGAAGTCCTAAAAACTGATCTTGATATAGCGGACACATCAATCCCTGCAAGAGATCCTGAGGAGGGTGAGGAAGACAACTACGGTGATGAAGGCAGCTATGATGCATATGATGACGATAGTGACTACAGAGATGACAGGGGGGAGAAAGGAGACGTAATAGGGGAGAAGAAAGAGTGCAAAGATATTTCCAGTCGGAGTAACAGTACAGCCGACGATGATGACAGTCACAGAGGGAACGGAAATGTTGTTTCAGACATGGACAACTCTTGTATGGTGAAAGCAAGAGGCAGCGTCTCATCCCTTCAGACTTTGAATTCTCGGCAGGAAATGAAGGAGAAGCTGACAACCGTGAAAGACTTGTTTCAGGGGAATGATCTCACCTTAAATGAGATGATTGCTGCATGTGAAAAGAGACATGATATGAACACTGATTCCCACAAAGATAGTGTTCATGTCACTGACGGTTTTGAAGACAAACCCTCTGATAGTGCTACCAATGAGGAGCCAGTCCCAGCAACACTTGGGCAAACTGTGAAATTTAATGACAAAAATACAAATGTTTCAGAATTTTCTGTCTCTAGTCCCTTAAATGAGGCAGTTGAAGATGATGGTGTATGCACTGATCATTTATCCAATGAGCAAAATCAAGCACTAGAGATGTCGGTCTGCACTCTAACAAATGCACTGGAAGACCTTGATGAGAGTGATTTAGCTGATTGTGGTGTAGGCTCTTCTGTTGCGCCAGAGACTTTATTACCAGATCCAGCTGGTCTTTCTGATGACCTCATTTCAGCTAATGAAAATTGTGATGTACATTTCTTGGTGGACGCATCACCCGTGGGTGAAATGCTTGCTCCTAATTCAAACTGTCTAATGTCACAAAAGTTGACACGAGTAAACAAAGTAAACTGTATAGATGTGAAGGAGGACACTCAAAGAATGAACCCTGCTACTGACTTGCACACTACCAATAAAGAGTCATATTCAGGTTTCAGTGAACAAAAATCACCAGAAATTCCAGCTCAGGATTCCTGTCTTCCTGCTTCACCATCCAAAAATTTCAGCTCACCCTTGAGTGAGGATTCCAATGGCGACAGCAGAGACAGTGTAAGTCCTAAAGGCATTACCAACGCCCAAGAGAATTATTTAGTTGAAGATGTGGAGTTGGGTGAAAGTGACGACAACTCTAATCTAGCATTGGCAGCAGCAGGTGCCAGGGAAGCAATCCAAGCTAGTGAGTCTGCCAATGTACAGCTATGTGGTGTTAGTGTAAATTCTTCTGGAACAGATATTACTAACCTTAATAATTACCTACATAGTTGTGACAAAGTTTTAAATAGTCCTGTTGATACAGGGAACTTTTTTGAAAAAGAAACTCAGACACCAATGACAATTTTTTCTGAAGCTGAGATTCAGACCGACACATCTAATGACAGTGATCTTCACACAAAGCTCAAAACAAATGAACGATTGCTAGAAGAAACGAAAGAAAGGCTGACAAGGTTCCACCAGGATGTCCACAGATTGCTTCAGTACATCGTGTCTGATACTGACCTCGGTGACGTGAACAATATTGAACAAATGGTTAAACAGATGCTAGAAGTAAATGAAGAATCATTTTAACCGCTGATTTCTGTAACTCTGATCAAGGCTCTTAACGTGTAGCATTGAGAATTGTGTCCGGCTATGAGCGATAGATGCATTTCTGCTGGTCATAGAGCTTCATTCCTGTAATATTCAAATGGCAGTTGCATTAATTACCCATCAAAAATACCTCAGGAGTTTGAAAAGTTAAAGTTGTTGATTGATCTAGATTTATATGTTCACCTAGAGACTATTATGTTTCTATTGTATTTCTTGCTATAGATCACCAAAATATTGTCACCTTAATCATACTTTCATATTTTTTGTACAGAGTGCTTCTGATTTTTGGAAAAACTAAAATAGGTTACTGGTATAATGTCTAACAGAAACCCTAACTTATGAAAAGCTTTGATTTTCTTACCTTTAGTCCTAATGATCTTGTTGAAATACTTTGAAATGCACAGCCCCATGCATTCTATCTGCTGCCTCTCATGTTTTAAATTTGAACTTGTGTACACAAAAATGGTCTCTTATTCACATGTGTCCCCCAGACAGGAAAATAACAGTATGATTGTCAGAGCTTTGAGAGATGTTTGTGTTGGTGACACACTTCTTAAGTATATCATTTTGTGACCCTGTACTGTAATTTAGATTTTGCAGCAAACAGTTACCAACCACTTATAAAATAGCCAAATGTATAGCAAAATAACATATCACATAAAAACCTTTCTTTATTATTTCAAAATGTATGCTTAGCACAATACCTAAACACACTACCAAATGTGTTTGTTATTAATATTATTTATGACAATATGAGTGAGCTGCTTAACCAAATGCTAATATATAAATATACAATAAATGATATGGCTGATTCCCTATAGCGTGAAAGATTTCCACTTTTGGGTTGCACACCAATAAACAGCAAAAATGGTAGCTACAAACAAATGTGTCACGACGCACAGATTGGAAAGCATTGATCTATATATTGGAGAAGATCATAATCTATAATTTTACTAAAGTTTTTTTTATTCAGTCTCAACAAACGAACCACATTAATTTGTCCTATCTGCATAAAAAAATTTTTAAATTACTATTCTTTGTACAACACTTTTATTAGATACATTTTTATGAACAAAAATGGGTTTTGTCTTATTTCTCCATCCATTCTCGTGCTTGAAATATTTTTCATCTTAAGCGGTGACTTTGTAGCCAGTTTTATATAAAAAAATAACTAGTTTGTTTGTTTTATGTATCATCTTCTTATTATACTCACTGTAAATGGTCATTGCTACTAGCTATTGAAGATGACTGTAATGTGTGAAACCGCTGTTGCATTAAAATCACTGATTTTTTTTCAGTATTCTTATTTAAAAAACTGGTCTCTAGATTTTTTAATGACTCACTGGATAATTTTGACATTTCTGGATCATTTAATTTTAAGCATGTTTATTTTTACAACTTGAATTAAAATAAAATTAATTTTTGAAAGGATTGTTTTATGTGCAGTATCAAAATGTTTTAACTATTGGGAATTTTTTTGTAAAACAGAGTAGCTTGCGTATAGACATCTCCTACTTTTCCCACTTCTTGGCAGTTCCTAACTCCTGTCTGATTTTTCTAAACTTAATTCAAGTAAGTTGAGTAGAGCTCATTAAAACAGACCCAAAAATAAATTTTAAAAAAATGTATCACACTTTCAATCTGAAAGTGAAATTTCTATCCTTCAATTCATGGTATCGTCATCCAATTCATGTTTGCATAGACAAAACATGGCTGCGACCAATGATATGAAAGCAGAGCAGTCTCATCCCACTTTTCTTCCCAAAAGTTAAGTCTTTTTCTAAGCTGTTTTACCCCATACTATGATGATTGTATAGTCCATAAACATAATTCCCTGGTATATGTCATGGTTTTTGAGTCGAAACCACTTTTACTGGTGATGGGGGCATATTATATGTTATTTTGCTTTATGTACATACACAAGTGGTTAAGTTTGATGAGACGAGCAAGCAATACACTGAAACAAGTTTATAAATGGCATAAACGTTTCTATAATCAAATCCAATTGGTTTCAAACTGACTTAAATTTGAGAAGTAGAAGAAAGGTTTTAAATGAACTTAACTTAAAGTTCATTTCCTTTCCAACATGGCGGCTGTCTCTATTTTGAAATTGATAACATTTCTTGATCAAATGTTGATTTCCCCATGGGTCAGCTCTGGGTGGATGAGAGCCAGCCAGCCGGACTACACGGCTTTGTTATAAAATAAAATAAATCCTTCCCAACATTTGATCACATCATTTTAAGTGCAATAAATCATGTTTTTGAAGCTTGAATTCAAAGAGCACGGCATGTTCATGACATTTGTTGGTTCTTTTTCTTTAAAAATCATTCATTTTTTTTACTATTTAAAAAATAATAATTTTGTTTTAGTGAATCTTATCTAAATTTGCTCTATTTAAATCTATTGAAAATTTGTCAGAATTGTACATTTTTTCACCCAAAGTCTCTGGTCAGTGGTACACAACTATATAATAATATTGTGCAAAACTCCACCCAGTGCCTATCAGACTGTGTGACATTAATGCAGAGCTGGTCCTTGAGGTGTTTTCACTTGAGGCAGGTGAATACATTTGTGTCCCCTATGTGTTTTTTTTTTAAAATTTCTAATGATTATTTTTTGTTCTCAGTTTGTAACCCTTTCCCACTGATCACCAAAGGCAGGTGTCTAGATTTGCCCTGCCCTTACCCTAGGCCTGGATCATCACTTCCCAGCATATTCTGTTGTAGAGTACCAGATGAGTAACACTGGTGACAAAACAGTTGATGCCATTGCCGTGGAAACCACTCTTATTCACTTTGTGACACAATGTCTATAAGATAAGTGGACTCCAGTGCGTTATAATTACTAGTATAACACAGGATCTTATGACATATGGATCAGTGGAGAAACAATATAAACCATCTGTTGTGAATATAATTTCCCATGACATCCAGATCATACATAATCACCAAATTTTATAAGCACAAAAGCACATAAATATGATATAAATAGTACAATTTTTGTTTCATATTTATAAATTTAATGTGACATACATTTGATTTAAATCAAGGTTGAGTTCAATTTATTGTAACAAGTGATTTTTTTAGTTTTTTTTTTTTTTTTAAATGCATTTTTACTGTTTGAAAGAAAAGATCATAATGACCACATTGATCATATTGGATCAGAAAATCATGGATTTCCTTTTCCATTAAAATTTTACCATGACTGCATTTTTATATTATTATTAAATGATTTGAGTGTTGACTTCCCCAGTGCTTCTAAACATTTTCATGCCATGCTGAACCTTTGAAATATCAATTTTGATACAACAGCAATCTATATTTTTAAAAATAGTACTATTAACATTCTTTTTCTTTTTTAAACTTCTTCTATTTCTTGTGGAAGGCTATGGCCCAGAGGTAGCCTAATTTTTGGCTAGTTTGATTGTTTTCATACCTGAGAGTATTTTATTTTATATTTTCTACGGAATAAATGGGGGGGGGGGGGTTGTTTTAAGGGTTAAAAAATGAACCTCGTGTCATTAAATAGTGGTTGTAATTTATTTGATGTTTTAACATTTTAAGAATCCCAGGCTTTACAATTTATTTCTAAAAAAAAACGATGGTATTGTTTCAATTCTATCTGAGCCTTCTATTCAGGGTTCTCTTTCCTTTTAGAAAAGCAACAAAAAAAAACCAAACAGTCACTTATGCATATAATCATTGTTCACATTGTAGTTTCATTTGTATAAAAATGCATACAAAAATTATAATTTATTTTGATGGTTTTTAAGGACAATTTTATATAGCGGTGAGAAAATTGTAAATAGTGTTGATAAACCAAGAGCCAATGACCGTTTCCTATTCTGTGTACAAATGTATAGGGGGCATCATCATCATCACTGACAGAAATGTCATTGGTCATGCTTCAAAACAAACATCTCTCGCCATCATGTTTTGTATTGAAATGTCTGTGTCTTGCTTCCATTCTTAATGAAGATTAAAAAAGTTGTAGTTTTTAATGTAGAAGTAGGATAAATGCAGTGTGCTTTGAAATAACTAATACTTTTTTTAAACCAGAAAGCTCATAAAATGCTGGAATAAAGATTAGCTTGTTCAGGTATAAAACATTTTGTTTACTCGCATAATTATTGTATTTGTCGTTCATTGGAAATCGGGGAAATTGTTTTCTAGCACTTGAAGAATGATCTATAGATAAATTGTAAATATGTCCTCCTTAAATGGCACCATTTGCTGTTAGAATTGTTTCATTTATTACTAATCAGTTATGTTTATGGAATAATTTATCCTTATATAAAACTACATGCTGAAGATTAAGATGTGTATCCTTGAAGCCTAATTGTGGTCATGATTTTTGGGGATACAACTGCCAGGTATTTAATGATCTATTTTTTCAATGTATAAAATAAATTATATGTTTAAACTAGAGTTTTGATATTTTTACATCATTTTGTTTGCATTAGTGTGTCCTACAGTTGTGTTACTGTTTTGTGTCCCGCAGTTGTGTTACTGTTGTGTGTCCCGCATTTGTGTTACTGTTTTGTGTCCCTTAGTTGTTACTGTTGTGTGTCCCGCAGTTGTGTTACTGTTTTGTGTCCCGCAGTTGTGTTACTGTTTTGTGTCCCACAGTTGTGTTACTGCTGTGTGTCCCACAGTTGTTACTGTTGTGTGTCCCGCAGTTGTTACGGTTGTGTGTCCCACAGTTGTTACTGTTGTGTGTCCCACAGTTGTTACTGTTATGTGTCCCACAGTTGTTACTGTTGTGTATCCCTCAGTTGTCACGGTTGTGTGTCCCGCAGTTGTTTTGTTATTGTTGTGTGTCCCGTAGTTGTTACGGTTGTGTGTCCCACAGTTGTTACTGTTGTGTGTCCCACAGTTGTTACTGTTGTGTGTCCCACAGTTGTTACTGTTGTGTGTCCCGCAGTTGTTACGGTTGTGTGTCCCGCAGTTGTTACTGTTGTGTGTCCCGCAGTTGTCACTGTTGTATCACAGTACACAAAGTGTTATTGCACTTTGTTTTACATAATGTGTCCTTTACATAATGTGTCCTTTACATAATGTGTCTTCCTTTATTTCTTAATGTATTATTAGCTACA